CCCCAAAACCCCAAAACCCCTAAATTTAATATTTACTTAAGATTTTAGTAAATTATAACGCAAATAAATAAATTAAACTTGTCTATTATGTATTTGGAGATACATATTTTAAATAAATCATGGATATACAATAGAAAGACTTGATACATTCTAGCTTTTAGTTCTATTTTTGGCATCTTGCAATTTTACCTAGTATTTTTTGAAGTTATCATACTCACCATAAGCCTGTAATATATTGATTGATCTTTCAATTTGATCATTAATTTGATTAGAATAAGGATTTCTTTTCCCCTTTGACTTTGATTGTTTGGTATATCCTCTAGCAAGGTTAAAAAAGTTTTAAGCTGTTTTGGCATAGAAGATCTTTTGCTTTTGATTTGAGTGATCTAATTAATAGCTTTGATTAATTATAGGCATTGTCATTGCACCAGTCTCAGCTCCCTCTTCAAAGTTTTGCAAATCTGCATCACTAAGATAGTTTTGAATATTTCTACGGCTTGCTTACGATGCTCTGTTAGGAATTAGAGTCTTAGAGTTCGAATAATTAGTATTCTAAATCAATTAATTAAGGTATAAACAATTTACTGAGATATTGGTGCTCATAGACATTCTCTTGAAACTCTAAGTGTTGTTTGCTTTTAGATTTGATTTTAAACCGATTCTTGTTTCATTGTGACGAGTTTGCGATCTTTTTTATGATTCTGCTAGTTAAGTCATGTTCCTCAATGCTTACTATAGAATTATTATAGAATATTTTTTGACATACATAACTTGTTTGGGGTCTCTGATCCATTAGAATTTATGAATTGTTAATGTCCTTATTTATATCTTCTTCATCTTAATCTTACTATTAATCTCTCAAAATCTATCTGCGACTAATAAAAGAGGTGCAAAGCTTATTGAGTTGATCTTTGAACTACTTGCTATTTTCATTTATTTCTGATGGCTAGATTGTACTCATTTTTCATCTACCGAAAGCCACTTTTGCTGCTATTGCGCTATCATTATTAATGTTAAGCTTGAAATTAAGCTTCTTCACTAAGGGACTTTCAAATGTCGATTCATATACCATTTGATGCCCATTCATTTGATAGCATTATCTACCTGCTTCTTTACCGATCGATTGTGGTCTCTAGTCAAATATATAATTCTGGCTAAAACTAACTTACATAAATTTATTAACACGGTTAGGCTTTAAGTTTTAGTACAGCATAACTCTCATTATAGGTACCTGGACCTAAAAATTTGCCAGTGGCTTTTTCCCAATTTTGATATTAAGGAAATCTCACTTCATTTGGCAATGTTCTTTTTCGATTCATAGATTTAGGAACAAAATTTAGCTTTCTTCCATCACTTGTTAACTAAAGTGTTTATTTAGCATAATGAGGATTAGATTACCTAGGAATAATTGAACTCGGCTGTCCTTTACTTAGGAGATCTAAATTGAAGCTCTGTTGGTCTCATTTTATCTTTACAATTTTATAATAAAAATAAAAGTGTCAATATAATTTATTAAATTCAAAAGACTAATAATCATAAGGATTAGAGATAATTGTTTATGAATCATCATTCATTCATTTAAGATTGGATATTGAACGTATGATTTGATTTGGCAAGTTCCAGTCTTGAGGTTCTTATCTTCCTCTTCATGAGGAATACAGAGCTTGAAGAAACCCCCATCACCCCACTTGGTGCCCCATGAGTTTTTGATTAGCCAATAGCCAACACAATCACTATTGTTTTCAGCAGTTCCATATCCTACAATAGCAACAGCATGATTAACTTGCTTCTTCTCATCTGAGCATTTGCAATCTTAGTCTCTCAAAATACCACTCTTGTATGCCATTAAGCAGGAAGGATTAGAGTGCATAGCGACTCCAACTGGTCTTTCTGAGATGAGCTTTTTAAGTCTATCATTAGTAACATTGTCTTCTTCATTCTAGTCATGATTATAGAACTTCTCTTTGTCCTTTGTGTCAGCACAGGCACCCTTTGATCTCTGATAGTGTCTTGGGTAGTCACTTTCTTTGACAATTCCGTTTTTCTTAACCCAGGTGTATGCATCTAGCATCCAGCCACCTCCGCAACCGTAGTTTCCAGAGTCACAGTCAATTAAGTATTAAACAGAAAACTTGTTAGGGCCTGTACCGTTCTTAATAGCGTGTAAACTCTCCATAGTAGTAGCGGTAGTAAAAGCCCAGCATGAGCCACATGAAGCTTAATCAATAGAATCAGATACCTTGTTGGCTTCTCTCCAGTCAACCTTATCTGCTAAAGTTTCCTCCTTATCAGATGGAGCTGCTTGAAGATGTGGTCTGCTGTGTTTATTTCTAGTCTCTAAATCAGGTAACTTTAGTCCGAATTTGTGATACTCCTCATTAAATTCATCAACAGTCATATCAGCAAACTTATTGATTTCCTTTTTGAAGTGTTCGTTGACACTGTTATGCTCTTTAATGTCCTGATAGTTCTTTGCGAAGGTCTCAAACTTTGAGTGATAGTGGCTTTTAGTTGCGTAAGTTTTTCCATGCTCTGCAATAAACCTCAAAAATGCCATTTAAGTTTCATTAAGCTCGCTTGATCCAAAGAGAGTCATTTAAACTGAGGTGTAGTCATTTAGATGCTGATAAAGAGCAACAGATGCGACTGTGCCTACTATCATTATGGCTCCTGCAGCAAATTTGGATCTTCTGCTCTTGTTTATCTAAGTATTTGTTTGCTTGAGATTGAAGTATTAAGAATGCATTAATATTTATAATTATTATTATCTATTCATATCCTTACTATAATTATTATTTCCTCTATATCTCTATAAATCTAAAAAAAACAATTGCGGGGTTTTGGGGTTTTGGGGAGATCGGAAGAGCGTCGTGTAGG